AGACCAAACAACGACCCAGAAGGCGTTACTTGGCAACCACATCACGTGGCCCCTTCTTTGGAGCCTTGTTTGCTCCTGCCCCTCAACTCCTGTGCATTGCTCACAGCCAGGTTCATCACCAAGCTCGGCAGTGTTGTGGACTTGTTGGAGAAGAAGCAGGGGGAAGTCAATGAGGTGTACGCTTCAGGAGCTGTTGAGGGTTACACTGACGAGTAACTTCCCAGCATCCAGAGTGCAGCATGTGAAGTTTACTGTCCATGTAACGACCCCAACAAAAAAAAGATATCAATATAGGACCAAAAAACTTATGAGGCCTTTCATTTGTGTGTCGATCAGGTCAACCTATCCTGGAATGTTGTAAACCAAACCGGTGTGAAATGCTTCCAAGGCAAGAGAAAACTCTGATGACGCATTTCAAGGATGCCATGAAACTGTCCGAGTCTGAGAAAAGTTCTGTCAACACACTTTGTCCGTATTTAGTGTGATCGAAACCTTGCCTACAATCAGTGTGTGACTGAGGGCGCAGGAATCCCTCTCATTGGAAGCACGAGCGAAGTCCATCCCGTTGCCAAAGGCTAAGGCCTCTGCTGCAAAAGCGGCACCGAAGGCCAAAGTCAAGGCGAAGGCAAAAGCTTCACCTGACGCAAAGCCTGCAGCTGCACCAAAGCGCGGCGCTCGCAAAGGGGACAACTGAGTCTTTTGGATTTTTGCCTCCCATGGGCCACCCATGGCGTCGATCACATACTACCCTTTTATACCCGAGGTTGGCAACAGTTGGTAGCACAACCCCCTACTCAACATCCTGGAATTCCCACTGCAAGTTTGGTGGGTCTCATGGACTCATGGGAATCCACAAATGTTTGATGGTTCTTTTCTTTAGGCTTCTATGCGGGGTGGCCCTGAATGGTTGAGCAAACATGGGCTTTAAATGGCCCATGAAGTTTTGATTTCAAGGGGATCGGCTAAGCACAGACCTTAGCACCTGGATTTTGCAGGTGTGGTCTGTCCAGTCGAGAGCGGCTTCGATCTGAAACAACAAAAGGAACGTCGTGGAATTTTCTTCAAGTTGTGAGGGTCATTGTCCTTGAAAAGGGATTGGCAATGCCAGGTCCAGAAAAGCCGGGCTGCATGCTGAAAAATCTCGCTCTTTCCATGGCTGACGGGGTTACTCATCTTAAAATTAAGAAAAGCCAAAGCTCAGCCTTTCCTGTTTTCAATATCGAGATATATACTTGCAACCACAGCATCTGTGTCAGTTCCTGTTGGCCGATACCCGAGGTTCCCGCTACTCGCCTTAAACGCTTTGCTCACAGTGCCATCGTTGAAGCTCGCGAAGCTGGCACCGGGGTTTCACCTGCACTGCAACGGGCTGGCCGGGTGACAGCTGAAAACATGCAGAATTGTGAGCGTGACCTTCATTCCTTGTTCTGGAAGTGTGGTCTAGCACTGCCAGTTCGCTTGAGCACTATGCGCTTTGGCCTCCTTTATGTACACTACATATCGCTCTCGACGTGGTTTCGGTGTTTGTTGGGGGATTACCCTCATCTCCTTCTTGGTGGCTTTAGTGATAGCTCCAAGGCTTCACTTTTGTTGGAGTCTTTCTGGGAAACCTATCGGGTGGCCCACAGTGATCATTTCGTTTTCTCACAGCATCCTGGCAACCTCAAGGCCTGTGTGCCTTACTACCTGCACTTGGACGAAGGAACCGGTTTACGCAAGTCAGCTGTATTGGTGTTCAATTTCCAGGCAGCATTTGGTCAGGAAACCGCTGCAAACTTTGAGAAACTGTTTGGGGAGGGAACAGGACGCTCTGACAGAGATGTCAAAGAGTACATGGTGGACGCGCAAACTCACAATCAACGCGGGTCATCCTTTCTGTCCAGGTTTCTGTTCACAGTCATCCCGAAAAAGTGGTACACCAAGAAATTTGACTTTGTGTATGACAGAATTCTAGCCCAGCTGGCAGATGAAGCTGCGAGACTCGCCTGTGAAGGCATCAGAGGCATGTTTCCCATCTGCCTCGGACTGAAGGGCGACGCGCCAGCTTTGGCAAAGGCAGCTCACTACAACAGGTCGTTCATGAGCCTTGCATTGTTTTCAGCATCTCTTTTAAACTACATTTACACAAAGGTTCCATTTCGTGGATGCCATCCAGAATCAAAACCAATACCATGGATTGGTTTCCAAACTTGGTCCCTTCATGTCTGTCACTTCGCAATTGGTCACAGTGAGGAATGTTTCAGAAAAAGTTGGGAAGGGCATTTGTCCAGAATGCTTGGCAGGGTTGGATGACCTCCCTTACGAGGACCTTTCGAGAGACCCAGTCTGGCTACCGAGTGAAGCCTTGGAATACCCATGGTCTGACCAGAATCCATCACCGCTGTTGGCAATTCCTGGAGGCTTGAACCAGCAAGCCCTCTTTCGAAAAGACCCCTTTCACGTTTTCAAACAAACAGTTGGTGGACATTGGGTTGCTAGCGGGATTATCGTTCTGGTAGACATGGGATACTTTTGCATTGCTGGAGAATCAGCCCAAGCCGATGTGTTGCTGCAGAACGCATACCGGGATTTTGCTTGGTTTGTGAAACATGAGTGGCATGGTCAGTACGTGGCCAACATCAAGAGCTTTACAAAAGCAATTCTTCATTGGCACAAAATCAAGTCATACCCCTACGCCAGGCTGAAGGGAGCGGACACTATGCTTCTCACACGCTGGTTGGCCGTGTTGATACAACGGGGGCTTTATCGTGCAAAAAGCAACCAAAGGCAGGGTGTCAGTTTGATTGATCGTCCACTAGAAGATTGGCACGTGCCCCTTCTCAAGAGAATCCTTCGAGGTTCACTTGCTGGTGTGGATTTTTTCCGTATCTTACACTCTCGAGGCGTGTGGCTGGACCGTGAGAAGGATGCCAAACCCTTGGCTGAGCTTTGCTTTGACTTCGTGGAATGCTACCGGGACCTTGCAACCCTGTGCTTTGAACGAGGGTTGAGGAGATACATGCTGGAACCATCAATTCATTACTATCACCACTTCGCCGTTGATCTGAGCATTAGGATCCGACATGGTGACAAAAGAATTCTATCTCCCAACCAGGACAATTGTGAGATGGACGAGGACTTCGTTGGAGCCATCAGCCGTTTGACTAGAAACGTTCACGCCGCCACCACAACATTGAGAACGCTGGAGCGCTATAGAATCAAGGCGTTCTTTCAGTTCACCCATCAAGATTGGGGGGCACGAGAACGCCGTCCATCCAAGAAGAGGCTGAGGATCAGACCGTGAGCCGCACTCAAGAAAAGGGTTCGCAGCGGGGAGCGATTGGGCCAAAGATTGCACATCAAACCAAGTGAATACAACATGTTCGACATGTTCATGCAGTTGAGTTATATAGTGATGATCTTGGGTTGATGGAAAGGCCTTTTTTTCATGGAACGACCCCAAAAACAAACAAACGCATCAAAAGAATAGGTACTTTGTAAAAGGCCTAAAAACAGGAGGCACAGGAGCCTCGAGGTATATATATAATAGGTTTTTGTAACGGGAAAACGGAGACCCTTTGATCTGGAGGTTGTTTAAATGTTTGGTATGAGTTTAATAAAGGTTTTTAGTGGATTGTATATAAACATTTCCTGGGTGTTGGTTGATGGGGATTATGCTACAAAGGGCAAATTAGAGATAGTCTAGTGGTGAACCAAACTTCAGTTGTCGTCTGTCTCTAAATCCAGTCTGCTCTCCTTGTCTCAACGTCCTTCTTGTAGTCTTCCCTTTCATTGTCGAAGAACTTCTGCAGAACCTTGCCGAAGGACTCAATCTTCTCCTCTGAGATGCTCGTTTTGAAGTCGTCGGTGGCACGGAACTTCTTGTTGAACTCATTCTGCGCCTGTTTCAGCAGGAGTGCCTGATCATCCTTGCTCAAGGTGTCTTTCCAGGCATAGAAGTCATCCTTGAAGCCCCGCATGGCCATCTTGCTCCCAGCCCTGGGGGTGGCTGAGTTCACAAAGCCGCTTTGGCTGGGCATCAAAGAGCTCAAAATGCAAGCGCCCAGTGCCAGCAGCACCACAGGGACAAGGCTTGTTGAGCGAGCCATGGCTGGTTCGAGACGCTCCGCCTTTCCAACAACAGTGCTGAGGGCCTCGTCTGCAAATGGATGCGGTTGGCGTCCAACTGCATGTCAAATCATTTCCCTTGGTCCTAGGTCCTAACCCACATTTCTCATACACGGCAAAATCCTGAACAAGAATGTCCAATGGACCTTTAGCTTCGGTCTGAAATTCCAGAAGTCTAGCATCTTTCACTCCCACACACGAACCGCCTCAAAGTGGCGCTCTGCGTTCCGGGAGATTACAAAGTCCCCGAAACCGAGCCTGCCCACCGGGCGCGGGGCATGACCCGGATCTGATGTGTACGGATGGATGAGGTCAATGAACCTGCCGGCCATCGCCTTCTTCCCGGAGAAAACATTTCTGCCAACAACCTACCCGCAACCTATAGCATTCTATAGCTGTTTGCTCTATGTTACGATTTCAGCAAGATTGCCGATCCTCAAAGACAGACTCAGGGACAAGTGAATCTTTAAAGTCTCAACAGTCCCTCAGCGCCCCGGCCGCTTGGACTGGCCAAGCTTTGGCAGCTCAAGATGCCCCCGCTTGAGGCCGGCTTACTGGAACTGGTCAGGCGCTTCCAGCCAAAACATTGCGCACATCTGGCGGCTGCTACGAGTTTGCTTGCCAAGGCAAACCCAGTTTGCCGCAAAGAAAACTCCAAATGGTCCGCCGTCAAATCCCCAAACTCCAGAAATACAAGTGCATTTATGAACCAAAGCATGAGATGATTCTGCGCATTGATCTCATTGCTGAATGGCCAGCAACCCAACTCCTTGCCTTGAGGTTCATGCTCGATAGTAAATATATACATCCCGTAAGACCATGTAAGACCAACATTCAATATTACTATTCAATAATAATATATATATATATATAATTATATATATCTTGGTCGGGCTGTGCAAACGGGCCTCCTGCAATGAGAGTCATCTTCACTCGCGGTTTTTGTCTTGAGCTTTGAGGGACTGTTTCTCAAGAGATTAAGACACCAGCACGTTAAAAAGGGCTGTACAGTGCAGGAAATGCAACATGACTCTGTCAGCTTGGTGGGGCAAAGCTTTACGTGATGGATATGAAACAAAGGCCCCTGCCGGACATCAGCACTGCTTTTCAGTACCGGACACTGACAAAACGCTGCAAGTGGTTCAGCTGCTCGGACATCAAGTCCTGCTCTGCGTCGAGTGTCTCCCAAAGATGTCGAAAGCGGGGGTCCTCCTGGTTTGCTGAAAAGGGGAGGAGAAGCAACTTCTCCTTTGGGCCTTTCCTGTGGCGGCTTCGCTTGATGACACAAGTCACCGGAATATGGTCAGGTCTCCATGATTGATCTTTTTCTCTTCGAGGGGGTGTGGATGATCGACCCTCTCTTCTCACATTTGCGAATCGGGTTGGCATCCACGCTGAATATGGCGCCTCATCCTCTTCCTCGTCCATCTTCTCGTGAAAGACCTCCCCTGGCCTCATCTCTCCCAGTTTCTCATCGACCTTGGCCTTCGGAGACCTTGGCCTGGGAGAGGTGGGGCGAGAAACCTCATCAGTCTTCAAATGGCGTCCGAATCTCGACTTGCCTTGAGATTTTGGGACTTGAGTCACTTGAACTTGTCTTAGGCATGGAGTCACTCCAGTCCCCTCTGGCACGGGAAGGTTTCCAAGTGCTTTCTGATTCGGTCGGGACTTTTGAAGCTGCTCACCTAACAGCTCATGGCTAACGGCACTTGGGGAGGTGGCTCGAGTTGAAATAGTGGATCCGGTCGATCCGGTGGAAGGAGAATCGGCTGCGGAACCAGGCCGCGCGCTGGAGGTTGCGCCGTTGGCTGCAGGCGTCTTCGGCGGAACGGAAAAGTGCCGAGGGAGGTCGCTCTCGGCGGTACGGCACGGCACGGCGAGCTTCTCTGGGGCTGCTAGGCGGGGAGCGTCCGAGGCACGGCGGTGCGACGGGCTGATGTCCTTGGAACACCCAAAAAAGCCTACATGGTTCTACATGAAAGAAAAGCAATTAATTATCGTGGGAGTTCGGTCGTGAAATACAAAAAACAACACTGTGTCCGGGTGGTTCCAACATGTTCCAACCAAATGCCCAGAAATAGGCCTTCATCGCTTTCGGCCAAGCTTCGCTCGGCGTCTCCGGCCTGGGGCATTTGGCAGCCTGGAGCAAAGCCATGGCCCGCCCGGCTGCAAAACGATGCACTTTCACCGCGGCCGCGGGAGGTGTCGGAGGTATCGGCTGCACCACGTGAGTCTCCAGTTCTGGTCCTGCAAGTGGAAATGGTCCCATGTTGACTCTACTCTCAAAGGTCTAACACGATCGCAACATTTTGTGGCAACTGTGCTAATGTTTCGCGATTGGTCTCGAAGAGTTGACTCTGGAGACTTACCATTGATCCACACTTTCATGCGGGGTCCTTCCAGGTCTTCAGTTGTTGCAAAAACATCCGTATCGAAGTCCGGGACGCCGGTCGCTTCCAAAGAGCAGAGCTGAACACTCGATTTCCGTGGGGCAAACACCTGGTCATCGCCTGAACTGGGCGGGAAGCGGAACTTAAAAACACACGACACACACATACATATATATATATATATACAAATATACATGTTATATGTTGCACCTTTGCAAATACAAGTAAGTGCAATTAAGTACATATGTTCATTCATGAGCTGCTGCTGAAGACTTTGCAAGTCTTTCCCTCCCACAGTGCAAACCTTAAAGAGGTCTCACAAGGTCAAGATTCAGACGGGCCAGTTGGAAACCTCTTGCAGCAAACCCCTGCCACCCGCCCAAAACTGACTCAGCGCCCTTGGGCAAGGGGAAGTGGGAAATAAAACGTGGAAACCACGAAAAGGAAACCCCAAAACAGGATCAATTTAGGCAACTGCGATGATGTAGGGATATAAGTTGAAATCAGAATCCTGCATCCGGATTGATTGATTGACTGATTGCGCTTGAGCCCCATGACGCTTATATAACGGAAATGGGCTGAAAACTGTTGGTGAACTTCAGACTGAACGACCCAACCCGGAATTAACCCGATGAGAGCTGAGTTTGACCAAGCATTTTAAATGACCTTGTCCGTCTTGAAAAGGAGGCCCCAACCAAGAAAGGAAAACAAACAGAACAGAACGCTCTGAGCGTGCGTTTTTCATTTGGTACTACTGTATCACGAATGTGTTTTCCCTTTGCATCATCTGTCTGGTTGTGACAATGCCTAAACCACCAATACCAAAAAACAAAACACACGTCTATGCCTCAGGACCTGCCCCTCAGACATAGACTTGTTGCACTTGTACTTGTTGTTGGTTGGTTGGTTTGGTTTGGTTTGGTTTGGTTTGGGTTGGGTTGGGTTGGGTTGGGTTGGGTTGGGTTGGTTGGTTGTTTTGTTTTTGTCTACAAATGGTAGTGAGCAACTCCACAGTTTTTGACCCATGCCTAAATAACCAATAATGTAGTCCTATGATTAATAAACCCCCCTAGAATAGTGTCTTTTTTTTCCTGCACAGATTAATAAAGGCCCCTAGAATAATGTCTTTTTTTTTTGGAGGGGTAGTTGTAGTGGTTTTTTTATATTGTTATAGTTTACTTTTTCCCTTTTGAGTTTGCTGGGATTTGCTTATCTTACAGGCTTTTGGATTGAGATTTCTATCAAACATTTGGAGATTTCCATTGAGATTTGATTCTTTTGGAGGCTTTTGGATGGAGATTTCTATTGAAAATTTGGAGATT